TCTCTCTCTCTCAAATAAATAAATAAATCTTTAAAAAAAATAAAAATAAAAAAATAAATAAATAAAAAGAGCCTGCGGCCGGAGCTGGAACTCCCCTCTCAAAAAAGGAGGTAGGGTCCTTTAAGAGGGCTCCGCCCCGTCCCGCGAAGCCCCGCCCAGATTAGGGTCACGTGCCCCTCGTCGCTCACTTAAGGGCGGGCCTCTGCGCGGTTTGAAAGATCCGCGCGCGCTGCGGGAGCGGCGGTTCTGCCCGCGGCTAGGATGTCGGTGTTGCGGCCGCTGGACAAGCAGCCTGGCCTGAACACGGCCACCATCTTGGTAGGCGTCAGCTGCTCCGCTTCCTCCGCCCGCATTCCCTCCTTGGCTGCGCCTCCGCTGCCCGCTCCTCTGCGCTCTCTCAGGTTCTGGAGCGCGTTTTTCAGGCCGGGGTGTGGTGGGCGGGAGAGGCACACTCTGAACCAATTGGAGTAGCCGCCCTCTGAGGCTGAAGGACGCCCCCACCAATAGGTGCGCGGCGGGCTCTTTCCCCGCTTCTGATTGGTGGGGCTGCTGGGCGGGGAGACTGGGCAGGGTCCCGGGAGGCTGAGTTCCGCGCGGGCCGGGTAATGTGCTTCCCGGGGTCGCTGGTCCGGCCGCCCGAGGGAGGGTCCCGGGAGGTAAGAAGTGCTGTGCGGACTGGACCGGAGCGGCTGCAGCCTGGGCCCTCACCCCGTGCCTGGCGGAGCCCTCTCTCGGTAAAGGGCGCTCTGCGCGCGCGAGCGGGAATCCTGGGAGTCGCGCGCCGTTCTGTCTGTGGCCTGGTCCCCAGGCCCTCCGGCGGGACTGCTGCGCCCAGACATCAGTAGGCCGCCCTCTCTCCCTGGGCAGCTGGTGGGCACGGAAGATGCTCTTCTGCAGCAGCTGGCCGACTCGATGCTCAAGGAGGACTGCGCCTCGGAGCTGAAGGTGTAAGTAGCCGAGGCTGGGAGTGTCCGATCGCTCTGCGGTGGCCTGAACTGTGGGCTGCCCAGGAGGGCGAGCGGAGGAGCTGCCAGAGAGGCGGGCGCAGGTGGGGCCAGGCCCGCGAGGCGTGATCTGTCCCCAGCTAAGGGATGCTCCGTCACTGTCTGTCACACACCTCTGTTTCCTGCAGCACTTGTTACCACAGGAAATGTCCTTGTTCACCTGTTTGTTTACTTGTTTCCGGTCTGCCACCCCCATGGACCCTCAGGTCAGCCCCTTGAGGTCAGGGACTTTGACTTTTTTCACTACTGATGGAGAGTAGAAACGGCTGCTGGTGGGAATCAGGTGACTGGATATATGTGGGTGTCCTTCTCCCTGATAGATAAGCTCCAGCGGCTCATGTTGAAGGAGAAGGATCCCCGTCTACAGGGTGTTCCTCCATGGGAATCAGAAACACCCCTCACTAGGAGAATAAACCCGTTACAGCATTTGAAAGAATCTGATGAGGGAACAAGTTCAGACGGGAGTGATGAGGGTGACTTACAAGGTCACATAGCTGATAATTGGCAGGCCTGAGATCTGAGCCCACTTCCATCACCCTCGAAAGGGGGTCAGCCTTAACCCCTGCTCTTCACAGTCCAACACCCCTCTTCTGAGCCTGATCTCCCTCCCAGCATACAGTGTAGCTGGCTAGCCCCGTGCCATCTTATATCACGAACTCCCTCTTGCCAAGGTGGTTCCCAAGCGGAGCTCCCTTGTGGCAGAAGGAGTCAGTCTAGATAGGACCAGCTCTGCCCTGTCCCTATGCTCACCTGAGGAGTCTAGCCCACAAGAGCCTCCGGGGAATAGGTGAGGAGCCTTTGACAGCCTCTTACCCCGTGGAGGGCAGCATGTGAAAGTTCACTGTGATGTGGGTATGTGTATCTTTATCCTGCAATTTCTCACTTTTCAGCCACCTGGCAAGGTCCCTCCCTCTGCCCTCTAATGTGAATCGGCCCCGAATTGACCTGATCGTATTCGTGGTCAACCTTCACAGCAAATACAGGTGAGAGCCAGAGATTAGGGGCTGTCAGGTCTCAGCTAGACCTGGCTCAGGGGTGCACGGGGATGGTGACCTCACTTGTGATGGGAAGGAGAGGACACAGGGAGAGGCTGCCTGGGGTTAGCCCAGAGGGTGAGGATGGGGCAAGTGCATGATATTTTTTTTTTTTAAGATTTTATTTATTTATTTGACAGAGAGGGACAAAGTGAGAGAAGGAGCACAAGCAGGGGGAGTGGGAGAGGGAGAAGCAGGCTTCCAGCTGAGCAGGGAGCCCGACGCGAGGCTCGATCCCAGGACCCTGGGATCATGACCAGAGCCGAAGGCAGACGCTCAACGCCTGAGCCACCCAGGCGCCCCGCAAGTGCATGATATTTTAAAGACACTGATAGAGGGGCGCCTGGGTGGCTCAGTCGGTTAAAGCATCAGACTTGATTTCGGCTCAGGTCATGATCTCAGGGTCCTGGGATTGAGCTCCACGTCGAGCTCCACACTCAGCACGGGGTCTGCTTGAGATTCTCACCCCTTCTCCCTCTGTTCCTCCCCACTATGTGCTTGCTGTCTCTCTCTCAAATAAATAAATTTTAAAAAATAAAAAATAAAGACACTGATAAACTCCAGCAGTGGCATCAGTCATTTCTCTAAAGCTTTCTGCAGCCTTCTCTGTATCCCTGATGGCAGGCCCAGACATGAATGAAGCAGACCCCTGTCCCCACGGTGTTCCCCGCCCACTGGGAGAGGAAGCTAGACTCCTGAACGGATGAGTACAGTATCTGACATAGGTACCATAAAAGAAGAACACGTTGGGCTATGAGAGCCCCAACAAGACCTCTGACTCTCAGGACTTGGGGCAGGGTAGACTTTCTGCTGGAAGTGACCAGGTCGAGCTAGCCTGGTAAAAATGGGAGTCAGTAGAAGCTTCCAGATGAAGAAGGTTAATATAACAGGCAGGAGGAGCGTAATGTGTGCAGGACTGCGAAGGCCAGTCCAGGCTCAGGAGCCCAGTGCAGTGTGGGGCTTTAGCCAGGGGAGAATGAGTGGTGGTGATGTTGGGGGCCCGGCCTGGCCTCCCTGTGGTGCTGACTGCCCTGGGGGACAGGACTGCAGCCAACCTGGGGAGTACGGAGGAAGGTCTGCTCCCTCCCTCTTGGGGGATGGCTGACTGAGGTTAGGCAGGGTACAGCGTCCAGCACGGAAACCAAGGCACACACCCAGTCATGTGGGGGTTAAGGGAAGGCTGTGGTGGAAACACCTAGCACCAGGGACATAGAGCTACCAGACACACCCCGCAGCAGGATCAAATCCAAACCTGCTGCCCAGCCAGCTGGAACAGGTGGGCAGTGACTGGAGCCCATGGTGGGGCACGGAAAGGCCTGAGATCTGCCATGATTGCCAGAGGTCCTAACTCAGCAGATCTGTTGCTCTTTGGGTGAGACCTCTCTGTTCAAAAGGGACGCTGACTGGTCTCTGGGGAGATTCTGCTCTGCAGTCACACTTAGGGACAGAGAGCCATCCTTACTGTTTGCCTCAGGCCTTGCTCGTTCAGGCTGAAACCTTGGCTTGGTTCACCTGACCAAGTTGGCTTTTTGGCCAGGAAACAACAGATTTCATCACTCCTTGGACACCAGTGAATGAAACCCTTGACCCAGAAGGTCAAAGTGCCCTTTTCCTAGAGGAAAAGACTGTTTTCATATACTTGATATGACTGTAAATACCGTCACCTTATTGGAAAGCAATTTTGTGATATCTAGGTACTTTTTTTTTTTTTGAGAGAGAGTGTGCATGCACATGCACAAGTGGGGGTGGGCAGAGGGAGAAGGAGAGGGAGAATCTCAAGCCCCAATACTGGGCTCTATCTCAGGACCCTGAGATCATGACCTGAGCTGAAACCAAGAGTCAAGAGTCAGACGCTCAACTGACTGAGCCACCCAGGTGCCCCTACCGAGGTACATTTTAGAAAGACACATATTGTGACCCAGCCATTCTCTATCTAGCATCTTTCCTACAGAAGCATTTGCCCACATGTTTGAGAATACAAGTAAAAGAATGTTCATGTGACATTCTTTGTAATGGTGAAAAATTGGAGCCCATGTAAGTGTCCATCACCTAGAAAATAGATTGTGATACCAGATGATCATTCCAAAGAATGTAACAGGTCGAACCCACCCAAACCCAACTACATGCTTATACATATCACTGCCTGTATTTGCATATGAGAAATTCATATGCAAATGGCATTATACCTCAAACTGTGGGCAGCAGTAACCTCCAGGATATTGAGACGGAAGGTTGATGCTGGAGAGGGAGACTTACTTTTTACTGAATGCATCCATATTTACTGTTGGATTATTCTACTGGCTTGAGTCACTCTGTAATTAAAAGTCCTTAAACAGAAGGAAAGACAAAATACTCCCCTAGTGGTGTTTCCTTTTACGTCTCCTTCCCCGGCCTCTCTGGGATGAGGAAGGCCTTCTGCCTTCTCGTTGGTAAGGTCTGTCCTCTGGTTTGTCTTCTCGCACCAGCCTCCGGAACGTGGAGGAGTCCCTGCACCATGTGGACACCACCTTCTTCCTCGGGAAGGTGGGCTTCCTCATCACAGGCGGTAAGTGCATCCCCCCTCTGCCCCCGCCGCGGGTGCTGTGTGCCTGGCACTGTGTAGACTCCTCACTGAGGCCGCCCCGGGGGGACGGAAAGAACGTGAGCTTCAGGCTCTGACCTGTTGGCCGTCTCTCCAAAAGCAGTTCTGAGCAGATCATTCTGCTGAGATAATTGTGGAGAGTTACCCGGTGACTCCCTGTGGCTTTCAGAGTAAAATCCCAACTCCTATGAAAACACAAGTTTGGCCTTCCACCTTCCTGTCTGGGCTTGTCTCCTGTCACTCTCCCATTCTTTGGTTCGGCTTATAGTTCTCTGAACAAGTCCTGCCGTTCCGGAGACTTTGTCATATTTAGCAGCAGAAATAACAGTAGCTCGCCTTTCCTGAGCACTCACTGTATACCAGACATTGTTCCAGAAGTGCTTCGTTTCTGTATCACTTCATCTTCACTACACGCAACCCTTTGAGCCACATACTGTTAGGCTGTATAGCTGAGGAAACTGTCCGTGTGGTTAAGGAACCTGCCCGAGGCCCACCGCTAAAAAGTGGTAGAGCCAGTATTCATACCTCTGGAGTCCAGGCCCTTAACGATTATATCCTACAGCTTCTCTTGAATGCTCTTCTCTTTGCCGAGCTAACCCCTATTTCCCGTCTCGTGGGGGACACCTCCCTGACCAGCCCTGCAGTCCGGGCCCGAGGAGTCCATCCCATAGACTCCTCCCCACCCTTCCTCCTACACGGGTGGTGTGTCTGAGCTCTCTGCCGCCACCCAGCTGAACCGTGAACTCCTGAAGGGGGAAGGGCCTGGCACAGATTATTCTCAATAAGCATTGATGAATAAGGAATGCCAGGTCATTCCTATAGATTAATTCACTGAATCTCTGTAGTACTGGGGGCTGTTCCCATCTTCATCCCATCCTCAACACGAGATGAGGAAACTCGTGTTTTTATAGAGCTCTCTCTCCAGGGCCTTCCAGCTTTATGTTCTAATTTGATGAAAAGCAGGTTGAACAGGCTGGTCACCCCACTGGCCAGTAAGCAGCTGAGGCCCTCAGAGGGGTAGTGAATGAGTTTTCCCAGTGTTTCCTGGCTCACAGCTGCCAAGGCAGACATTCCAGCCCGCGGCCCCCACGGTTTCTCCGCAGCTGGGCGGGAGGGCCACTGCAGCATTCACCGGAACACCGTCGTGAGGCTGGCCCGCACCTACCGGAGCCCTCTGCTCTTCTGCGACCTGGAGGTGAGGACACGGATCGCGTGGGCACAGGGAAAGGGCCGTCAGCACACCGTGGGTGTGTCGAGAGCGCTTCTCGGAGGGTCGTCGCGTGCCCGAGCAAGGGGGTCCTGATGTGAAGACACAGATCCTGATTTGAACCCTGGCTTGTCTGCTCACTGGCTGTACCTTGGGTGCAGCGGTCACCCTAAGCGTCGGGGTGCACAGATGTAAAGCAGGGCGACGATATGCATTCAGCCCGAGCACCTCTTAGATGCCAGGTGCTAGGGCTTGTGCCTTGCTTTTTTTCTTTTGCTTTGTTTTCTCTCATAACTAAGTCTTGTGTGTGTATGTGTGGGTCCTCGTTAATAATCGCACTCTCCTGCTGGGCTGGAAGTGCTATGCCGCCAGGCATCTTGTCTGTTTCATTAACCGGGGCCGCTCATGTCCCCCCACAGTCAGAATGCCCACTGTCCCCCTTATGCCTCTGGACTACAGGCCTGGTCCAGTCCCAGCCTAGGGCACGGCATCCGGCAGGCAGCAGGGATGGTGGGGGAGTGGGTGGGTAGAGGGTTGGGGGGATGTGTATGGTGTCGGTTCTGCCCCAACTCACTTTTGTTGGTGTTTCTCAGAGGTGATCCCAATTATGAGCACAGCAGAGCAGATTTCCATTTTGCTGATACATTTTGCTTTTCAGCTTCTCTTTCTGCAGTATGAATCCTGACTTTTTGCTAAAAGTGCTCAGCAGCTGCTTCCTCTGGGTGGTCTTCGGAGGGCTCCCAGGGCCTGGGCCGCCCCACCCACGTACCAGACCTGCTCAGTTAGTTTTGGGGTCTGTTTATTGGGTTTGAGGTTCATTTCTACTCTGTTCTGGGTCTTGCATCTATTCCCAAAGGCCAAGTGATGTCATGCAGAGAGAGATGAGTCAGCACCCTGTCCGTTATCACCACCCAGACCTGGGGTTCTTAGTCATGGGTCTGTGGACCCCCCTGGACTGAGGGTAGAATTCGGGGGATCTGTGAACTTGTACAAGAAGAAAATACTTCTTTCTTTCCCACTAAACTCTATGTGGAATTTAGCATTATGAATAAAGGCAAGAGATGTCAGTAGTACTAGCAGGGGCTAGGGCTGTTTTACCAGGAGAAATGGCGGATGTTTCCATCTCGGAAGGGGATGGGCAGCTCTCCTTACTCAGTGCGTCAATAAAGATGCACACCCTACTCTGTCATGAACTCGTTTTTCGTATTTGATGACCATTTTAGTCAGGACTCTGGTGTCAGATAGGACACTGAGGCCTGGGGCACGCCCCAAGGGCCTGCCCGTCCGGGCTTTTCTCACCACATACCCCAGAAACCCAAGACCTGCTTGCTCAGCCATGCAGCTAGTAAGTTAGCGGCAGAGCCCGCGGGTTTGCAAACGGCTGTCTCCTGCCCTTCCTAGTCTGCTGACTGTAGCTTTGAACAAGTCACTTCTCCTACCTGCAGCCTTCATCTCCTTATCTCCAAAGGGGAATCCTAATCTTTGCTCCACAGCTCAGGTACCTCAAACCTTGGTTGGTTCCGGCTGTGGTGTCCCCGAACCTGGTGCTGTGTGGTGCAGTCCTCCTTGTAGCCAGTAGGTGGCAGGCCACACCAGGTCCTGGGGTCTCGGGAGCTTGAGCGCCCAGGAAAAGGCCTGTGGCCCCCTGTCTGTTTGCTGGCAGCAGCTGGCCTTCCCTGAGACGAAGCACCTGGCATTTGGACAGTCATCACTCCTCGTCCCTGTGCTGTCCTTTGCAGGGCACACTCCACATACCTGAGTTTGAGCCTCGCTGTATTTTAAAGCCTTGCGGGGCAGGAATTTTGAGCCCCCTTTTACACATGAAGAAACACATTCAAGAAGCTGAGGGATTGTCGCAGTGACTATTTCCAAGCGTCGCTGATAGGGCCCTGTGCCGTTCCCTGGGCGCACACATGAGCCAGGCATTGCGCCCGCCCCCTCGGAATCGGGTGAGCTAGACCAGCAGGTGCAGTGTGCCACAGCAGAAGGACTTGCAGAGACCTGGCAGCCTGGTGGTGGGATGAAGTCGTTCCTGCAGGTGACGGGAGCAGCCTGATGTGCTCAGACTTGGGTTTGGGGCCACATTTCTGGATTGGAGGAGGCCTGGCCAGGGACGAGACTTGGGGGTCGAGGATGCTGCAGGAGGCCAGCCGGGGAGCCTGGGTGCGAGCAGCAACAGCGGCTCAGAGGTATATTTCGGGGGGCAAAGCCACAGAACTCAGAGGGCGAGGATTTCGGCAACAAAGACTTCTTAGGTCCAGTGTGCCAAGCACTGGGGACGCAGCATAGAACAAAAGAGTGAAAGAAGAAGAAAAATATCCCTGCTCTGTTGTCGTGGAGGGAACAAAGTAAAGAAGTCAAGGGTGTGACGTGTTAGAAAGTGAGGATGTGGCACGTCAGGTGGTAAAGCGGTTATGGTTTAGCAGCCTTGACAGGAGTGACCATTAATGAGACCTTGGAAGAGCTGAAGACGGGAGGAGGGCAGGCCCTGGAAGGAGCACAAGAGGCCGGAGGAACAGCAAGTGCCAAGGCTTGGCGTGTGGGGCCTGCCTGGTGTGTCCAGGCTCCCCCCGGGGAGGCCGAGGGCCAGAGCGCAGCAAACACAGGGCAGAGTAGTGGTGGAGGCGCCAGAGTCACCGCGTCGCCAGAGGAGGGGGGCCTTGTGGGCCTCAGTGAGGGCTGTGGCTTTCGCCCTGGGTAAACCGGGAGCCACAGGGAGGGTGTGGGGGCAGGGAGGGATGCGGCCTGACCTGGCTTTATTTACTTTACTTTTCTTTTCTTTTCTTTTCTATTTATGTGAGGCGGGTGTTGGTAGGAGAGTATGTAGAAGGGAAGCAGGGGCAGAAATGAGGAAATGGCCGGGGGGCTGTTTCTGAAAGTTAGAAGTGGCCTGGGCTCCGTGGTGTTCAGAGAAGAGGGAGGCAGGACCGTCTGCAATACTGGGGCTTTTCCAGGGTGGAGCCCACCGACTGTGCGGGTGGCCTGGGTATGAGACATGGGAGAAGGGAGACTCAGGATGGCCCTGGAGTTTTCAGCTGAGCTGCTGTTAGGATGGAGCTGCTTTTGGCTGAGATGGGGTGACTGCAGGGGGGACAGGTTGGGAGGACCCTCAGGGACTCCACTGGGGACATGCTAATAAGATCAGGCTGTCTCGGGTAGGGAGCCACATATGTGCATCTGATGTTCGGAGGAAGGGTCTGGAGATGTAATTTGGGCATCGTGGGCAGTGAGATGGTTTTAGATCACAGAACTGGATGAGGTCTCCACGGAGTGTGTGGGGGGAAGCCCTGCAAAGGCCAAGGCCGTGGGCAGGGGCAGCACTTAGATATGCGACAGGAGGGAGCAGCCTGGGAGGTGGGAGGAGGTGAGGGGGGGAGTGTGGCCTCCCGGGGGCAGGTGGGAAGCATTCTGGAGAGGGGGAGCGCTGTGGCAGACCAGGGTCTGCTGAGAGGAGAGTCGGTGAGAATGACAGCCACCTCTGGATTTGGAATATTTATGGTGACTGGTCAGACGGCAAGGCCCCCTTCCTCAGTTAGAGGGGGAGCACAAGATGCTCCTAAGGCGGCCGTTGGCAGGGTAGGGCAACCGAGTATCGTTTGTCCTTCACCAGGCACCGACCTGGCGCCAGGCCCCGGGGTCAGTGTTGCCCGCCCTACCTGACCCCACCCCACAGCACCTCTGGGCCCCTGCCTTCAAAAGCCCTGGTAAAGGAACTCTGTTGATGGCACCTCCCTGTCCCCATGAGGGCCACTCTGTGTCCACTCCTCTTTTCCACGCCTGGGAGTATCTTCCTCGCTCCCAGGTAAGGAGCCTTTGGAGCTTCTGCCTCCTGAGCGTCGGTTGGAACTCGCTCTGGTTCAGATCCCAGCTCGGGCGGCCACTAGACACTTTGCCTACTTCGTCAGCCCGGCTTGCTAAGCTTTGTTTCCCCTGGAGGAGGGGCCGTCGCCTGTGGCGTCCCTGGAGGGCATCTGAAGGCTCTGTGAGCCGGAGCAGTTGGAAGCTGCTGGGTGAGGAGTGCTGCGGACAGGGGCCTGGCCGTGATGGGCAGTGGTGCCCGAATCCAGCCCCCCTCTGGCAGCCTGTGCAGCTGCTCTGGCCTGGATCTGCCTCACCCCTGTGCTCCGCTCTCCCTCTGCAGGTGGAAGGCTTTCGAGCCACGGTGGCCCAGCGCCTGGTACGCATGCTGCAGATCTGCGCGGGCCACGTGCCCGGTGTCTCGGCCCTGAACCTGCTGTCCCTGCTGAGGAGCTCTGAGAACCCCGCCCTGGAGGACGTGTGAGAGCCGCCGGCCCCCCGAGCTGGCCCTCCCCACGGCCCGGTGCCTGGCGCGGGAGACTTCCGCTGTTGCCTGCCGGGCTCTGGGTCAGCGGTCGGTTCCCCGCACGGCCCAGCCTCGGAGCCCCGCTGGTGGGAATGCAGCCCCCTCCCCGCCATGCTCTTCATCCACTGGCCGGGCTCCCTCTCCACCTCAGGCTTCGCTTGAACAAAGCATCCATGGCTCAAAAATAAGTTTGAAAACCCCTGGTCTCCTCCACCACCTTGACTGTGCAGATGAGGACACTGACTCCGGACAGTTAGGGTCGGGCAGGGGAGCTTGGACTCTGCGACCCAATCTGACCCCACATCCTAGCCTTGCCAGCCTTACAGAGCCTGCCGTGGCCTCCTAGAGCCTCAGTTCCCCAGGTGTGCAATGGAGATCGTTCTAGTGTCCTTGCTGCATTGCGAGGACTGAATGAAATGACAAGCCTGCAGCTGTATTTCTCCCTCCACTTGTATTCCGTGTGTCCCATGATCCCTTGCAGTAAGGCCTTGCCCCGTACCAGCTAAGCGCTCAGTGAACGGTAACTGTTGTGTGAAATCCCACGGAGCTAGGTTCAAAAGCTGGTGCAAACCCAGGAATTACACTGTTTATGAATTGATACATTTGTGGGAATTGTGTGAATTGATATGTTTGTGGGAATTATGTGAGAGAGGCTGTCTGGAGGGCTGGCTCCCGGCTTGGCGGCCGGAGGTTGCACCGTGACTATGGCTCCCCGTCTCCTCTGGGTCTAATGAGAATTTGCAGAAGTGCCAGGGTTGGAATCCAGGAATCCGGTCAGCCAGCTGGGCACACAGGCTGGTGGACAGGACCTCAGGAGGAGAGCCGGGTCTGGGCTCCCTTGGACCATGACGCTGCCCCCCACCTGGCTTGGGCTGGGCCCTGCCTGGTGCCCGGGGCAGGGCTGGCACCGCGGGGCCTCTGCTTTGACTTTGCCATCACAGCCGGAGCCCATGCTCTCCATGAAGTGGGGCCAACTTGAAACTCATGAGGGCGGGGCCTGCCTTTCTCCTTTCCCGGGGCTCCTGCCTGAGCCTGGCCCAGCGCTGCACGCCCAGTGCTCAGTAAGGTCCGGCAGCCAGACACCTGGGTGATTGGAGGCCACCCCGCGGGCCCACCGAGAACCTCAGCTGCGAAGATTCCAGTTGAGGTCCCCCGTGTCCGCGACGCAGCAAGGCACTGCATGCTTTAGTCTCCTCACCAGCCGTTCCTGTGCCACCCCCACCCCCCCACCCCCGTCCCGGCGGACCTGCGAGGTTGATACTGTTTCCCTACTTACACTCGAGGAGCCAGGACTGAAGTGGCCAGAGGCGGGTCCACGTCACACAGCTAACCAGGCGGCTGCCTCCAGACCCCCCTCTGCTCTTCCCTCCAGTCGTTTTCTTAGGTGCCTAATGGTTGGACAAAGGTCCTGGTGCTTCTGCTGGGCAGGCGCTGACTGAGAAAGCAGCCGTCAGGAAGGGCAGTCTCAAGGAGCCGCTCCCATGTGCTGGGGTCCGCGCCTCAGGACAGGGGCAGGCCTGGGGGAGGAGAGGGCGAGGAGCAGGGTGGGAGCACTGCCCGAGCCAGGGAGAATATGACTGCAGACCTGGGGCTCCTCGGCGCTGGGGAAGGGAGCCCAGCTCCCGTGGTGAGGTTGCTGCGTCCAGGGTTGAAGGAAGAGGCCGAGGTGAGAGGTGTGTTGGTCTCTGAGGGGATGGGCGGGATCGCCAGAGGCCCCGGTGCCCCCTAGGAACCAGCCCTGTCTCAGCTCCTCAGTAGCCGGGGCCGGAGAGGGTGGGGCTTTGCAGGGCAGTGTGGAGACGGGGTGCAAGCAGGGTAGGTCCCTGGGAGCTGATGGAGCAGGTATCCAAGCAGAAGAGGAGGGCAGTGTGGACACAGCCTGCCTGCCTCCACTGGGCACGGCACTTTGTTGGAGACCAGGGGGTCTCCCCATACCCCTTGGCCTCCCCACAGCTGGCACGGGGCACACTCTCTCTCTGGTCCCTGTGCCATGTTTTCTTTGCCACCTGGTGCCATTTAACAAGAGAAGTGGCATCACACTCCAGCCGAGGATCTGAGAGCCTTCCAAGTGCCGGGGGGGACTCAGTGCTGTCGCGGCTGCCAGCTCCAGCGAGCTTGGCAGGGGCCCAGGAACCGAGAGGCTGCATCTGCCTCACAGCACAGCTGAGCAGCTCTGAACAGCAGTCGGCAGCCCTCCCAGGCCTGTGCCCCTGGCCAGGCAAGAGCGGCTGTTCTGCACGGTCTGGAGGCCAGGGACGCTGGGAGGCAGTTCCATCAAGCGAAGTAATGGAAGACCAGTCTTTATGCCCCAGTGGTGCCTGGAATGGGTGCTTGGTGCTGTGGCAGGGTGGACGGAGCTGGGAGAGGCTGTGCTTGGCTCCTTATGGATCTCGTGACCTTAGGCCGGTCACTTTATCCTCCAGGAGCCTGTTTCCTTGTCTGTAGGATGAGATCAGGCTAATGAATGCCTTTCTCCCCAGCTGGTCTCAGGACTGAGAAGGAGAAGCCATTATTTTATTTTATTTATCTATTTTTAAAGATTTTATTTATTTGACAGAGAGAGAGAGAGCATAAGCAGGGGGAGAGGCAGAGGGAGAAGCAGAGCCCCCGCTGCGTAGGGAGCCCGACTCGGGGCTCGATCCCAGGACCCCGAGATCATGACCTGAGCTGAAGGCAGACACTTAACCAACTGAGCCACTCAGGAGCCCCAAGAAGCCATTATTTTAAACAGAATGCTTTAAGCAAATGTCAGAATTCTCAGGCTGGCCTTGGTCACAAGATGGTCACATTGGAGGCAGTGACAGAGGGTGGGCTACCAATCTGAATGGGTGGGCGGCCTGAGGCTCCTGCAGGAGATGCTTTACTATTGGACCTGGGAGCTGCCGGGTCCATGCTGTCTGAGTACACGGAGGCAGGAGTGGGGTTTGGGCCCCGCCGTGCGGATGAGGTATCCGGAGCGCTCAGAGGGGCAAGGCTTGTTCAAGTCACAGGTTCCTTTGTTCCTTGGGCGCACCCCAGGGAGCTCACATTCTTCGTAGGAGATGGCCGGGGCCTGTGTGTCCTGGCCCCGATCTAATGCTATTTCCCACCCTGGCCAAGGAAGCAGAGCCTTCCCAGGGAGGAGGGGGCTCAGCAGCATGGCACCTGTGTCTCCTTCACCCCTCAGTGAACAGAGGCAGGGGCAGCCTCGGGCTGGGGCTCCGACAGGACGACCTGGTCACAGAGGGGAAGTGATGCAGTGGGAAAGGACCCAGCCCTTGAGTCTCACTGACTTGGGGTCTGTGGCCAACCTGCAGTGTGACCTGGGGCAGCTCACTTCCTGTCTTCCTGTCCCCACAGCCTCTTGAGGTTCTCATAAGTCTCAGAGAAACCAAAGAGCCTGACATTGTGCATGCCCCGTGGCTGCTTGTGCCCAGGGGGTGGTGGGCAGGGTGGCGTGCTGGGGAGTTCGTGAGATAAAGGCCTGCCCCAGCTTGCCCCTCCCCTCACACATCTGGTGCTGGGCCAGGCCTACTGGACAGGACTCCAGCAGAAAGGGGCCCTCTCCACAGGGCACCTGCTGGCTTACCCTCCTTCCCTCCGTCTCCCCTGGGGCCATAAGAGTGCAGCAGTCAGTGTGGAAAGACTTCTCATAGACACCTGGAGACTTAAGGGGTGGGGGGGGTGGAGATTGGGGACAATGTGGTGGGTTGTCAGGACCTGCCCACATCTGCGTCCCACCTGAGTGTGGCCCTCTGGACTGAGGGCTGCTGAGGACCAACTCTGGGAGGGAGAGAGGGTGGGGAGCCCCAGTGCCCCGACCTGGACAGGAGGCCAGGAGGCAGCCTTCCTTGGGGCCACCCTCTTACATCAGGAGGAAAGCCAAAGGCATCTGGGGGCCCCTGGGAGCTAACACTGGGTGGATGCCTGGTCTGGCTTGCATAATGGCCCTGCAAGGCCAGGGGGCTCCCCGCACCTGGTCATCCTGTGTTTGGCTGCAGGCTTTCTAGGGCTGCACCTGACCTCCCCCCTCCACCTGCTGCCCAGGAGGGGACTCCACTGATGTGTGTGTGGTGGGAGAGCTCAGGGCTGCCTGGCTCATCCCTGATCCTCCTGAGCCTGCTTTCCTCTTTGTAAAGTGGGAATTTCCCCCACAGGGTTGAGGCAAGGGGAATGGGCTCATGCAGGGCACAGGGCCGGGCAGGAGGTCAGTCGGTACTGGGCACTGCCGTTCTCCTGGTTACTGTGCCCAGACCCTGGACCTCGTCTGCTCCTCCTCAGACATCCTGGGGGGTCACTCTCGCCTCCATCCCTCTGTTCGGAAATCTCACCAGGCCTGCCCTGACTCCCGGGCCCTCCCTGACACCCTTCCCTCCTGAATTTTTCTCCCCAGCACTTCTCAGCCCCTCATCCATACGGTTTCCCCATTTGGATTTTTGTCTCTGTGGCTCCCTGCCCTCTCCCCAGAACCTAGAACAGTGCCTGGTGCAGAGTAAGTCTCAGTAAGTATTTGCTGAATGAAGGGAGGTGTCTGCTCACCGAGTTGGCCTGTGCACCATTCATACAGGGCCAAAAGGCTGCAGGGAGCCCCAGAGCCTGTGGCCCTTGTCCCCCCAGCCCCTGGGGAGGCTCCCCACTCTCCCTCCTCCCCACCCCAGCCTCACAGCCTTCCACCTTCCACCCGCAGGCCTAGCCCCCCCGGGGGGGCTGGGACTCTCCTCCCTGTGGCTGAGATACTAAGGGGCTGGGCTCTCCATTCTGACCTCCCAGAGAGGGCCTGTGTCCCCCCCCATCCCAGGGCCATGCTGAGAACTGCTGGGCCGCCCTGGGCCACAGCCCTGAGGTGTGCTGGATTGTGTGTGCGCGTGCGCGCATGCACGCTTTGTGCATGTGAGTGTCCATGCGGGTGTATGTGCGTGGGGGGGGGGGGGCGGGGAGGGCTTGAGACTGGGCAGCCTGGGCCTGTGAAAACCTGGACGAGGATTTTAGAACTGTGTCATAGAAGGCACGCCTGCCTCCTTGCAGAGCTTGGAGTCACGGGGAAAGGGGCTGGGGGCTCTGCAGCCTCACAAAGACTTTGTATGGATCTTCTGCCTCTCCTGCCCCTCAGCATCTCTGTGTCCTCACATTCTTCCCACTGTCCCCAAGGAGAGGGTCTTTCT